TATGCTTCCATCATGGAGCATTTTTCTGTTCTTGAGGTCAAGTTTACCACAACTGGGTTATATTCTTGACCAAGACCTGAGAGAAGATGCAAAATTTGATCATTTTCTTCAATTCTTTGTCCAGCGGCAGCTAACATGTCACAAATTCCTTTGAGTTTGTTGAAGTATTCCCTAATTTTCAGGTTTCCTTTTCTTAGGGTTTGAAGCTCAAGCTTAAGCTGCATCTGTTTTGCTAGGCTGTGACTGGAGAAACTCCTTTTGAGACAATCCCAGATCTCCTTAGCTGTGTTTAAGCCAACTGTGGTGACTAAAATGGATTCTGAGAGTGAAGACAAAAGCCATGAGGCTATGAGCTGGTCTTGTTTAACCCAGTTCAAGTAAGATTTGTTGACTGTGATCTCAATGGTGACCGGATCTCGAGCTAGATTATCAGAAGGTGGAGTTTCTCCACTTAAATATCCAAATAAATTGTAGCTTCTGATGGTAGCCAGAATCTGTTTTTCCTAAATGAGAAAATTTCCTTCATTTAGCTTGGTTGAGATGAGCTCGTTCTGTAGCTGTATGACATGCTCACTTGTTTGAGTAGTGAGAGCCATTTGAACGTAATAAATGCAAACCAGCTAGTGGTAATCAGAGCCTAAGCTCTGATCCCATAAAAGGAAAACAGCAGCATCATTATGCTAAAAGAAAAGCAAGAAAACATCAAAAATGGATTCATAATCTCATGTTCATTGAAATCTGAGAAATCTTCTCTACAACATATCTTTTCCTTCTCAATTTTTCACGCACACACACACTCCTTTACACAGCAGGTATATATGTGACTGCTGAGGAGCCTAGACTAGGGTTTAGGGGACACATGTCTCCATCTCAATAGCTAAGGGTGTTAGATTGTCTTCTAGCTAAACAACTATTTCCTTTTTGCATTTTCATGCATGCTTTTCTTTTCCACGTCAGATATTATGTGGCTTGACCGAGAAGTTGTTCCAATAAATACTATAACTGAAATTTTTAACTTTGTGTAAAAAGAAGGTTTTCAAAATTAACCAGGAACCAATCATAGCCTTCAAATCAATAATTATTAACGTTTGAAATTATGTTTAGTATATCCTTGTAATTACATGGAGATAGGGTAATGCCTCGTTTATTTAATAAAAGCATACCGTTTGCATTTCATTAATAGCTCGACTAAGTTAGTCTAGGTTTTTAGTTCAAATCCTTTTAATCAAAATAAAAATTAAATAGATGTCATCTTCTTAATATGCCTAATCAAAATGAGAATTAAGTAGATGTCATCATCTACTTAATTCTCCTAATTGCTTTCTTGTGTTTTAATTTTCTTAAGTGTGCCCAAATTGTATTTTCTTAAGTATGCCTAAGTGTGTTAAGTGTCTTATTTGATTTTTTTTTCCTTGCCTAAGTATAGGTAAGTCTTACTGTGCCTAAGTGTTTAGTGAACTCAACCATCCCTTAACAATTTGAACTCGGTTCATCCAAGCATTCTCTAGACATGTTTTTCCCCCTTTCTGGGCCAAGAATTCCCCCAAGCACCAAGACCGAACAAGCATAGACTAAGTCTCTAACTACCACCCTATTTCTTGGCCAAGTGCAGCAGCAGCACTCCCAAAAAACTCATCAGCCCAACCGCCACCAAGCGACAACATGAAGCCTAGACTTGGTCCTCATCAAAATCCATAAAAATAGGCCACTCTTCCTCAACTCGGCTCCCCCACCCTAACAGCCTAATTTCACCTATTTAAAAGCAAGAAAACCACAGCCGCCACCTTCATTTGGTCCCCTTCAAAGTTCACAAAAAAGTTGCACAAAATCTCCCTTCAAACACTCAGCAAAAACATCCAATTCCCCAGCACAAAAATCCTCCCGCAACGCCCTTGCCGAGGAGACCCGAGAACTAGCTACCAAGGACCCGAGCAGCGCTGAAGGAAACGTCCGGCCGAGACCAAGGCTCTCACATCACCGGTGGTGGGTGTCGAATCCAACAATAATAAATGTCAATTTCTAAAATAACTGTAGTGGTGGTAAGCAGGGTCGTATCCACAGGGATTGGGTAGACAGAGTATCGATGCAACTATTCGTTGAAGAAATAAAAATAACAATGGGGGTTTTGATGATTTTTATCTAACTACAAAAACTAAAACAAAATAAAATCTAACTAGAGACGAAAATAAAACGAGTGATTCAAAATATAGAAAATATCCAACCAAAGGAAAAACTCGTAGAAATGGTTCAAGGATTCGATCACGGGTGCAAGGATAATTCTCCTACTCTCGATTAACCTGGTTATGATTATTGGTACGACCTAACAACCTATCCTTCCTTACTTGTTCGATAATCAGGATACGATTTCTAATTATTTCTCCAATCAACAGACAGTCCTAGATACGATCATAGGGTTTAATCTATCAACAGCAATAAGATCTTGAAGGACCACGAATTCTAGCCAACAAACGCACATGTATGAAATTGAAAACCCTTAGTAATCAACTATGTTCTTTGCCACCAATATTAGAACAATCAAACATTTACGAATTTAATGTCCTAAATGGTGATATGATATTCCGATAATTGAACAAATAGCTCTTTTTGCATCAATCAACGAAAATAACAATTGATAATAAACACAAGAGACATACGAATAAGAAGTGTTAGTAGCTAGTTTGGCCTCTCTTGTTTAGTCTCGGAGCCTTGTGCATTTTTGTGTAATTGTTGCGTTTTCACATGCTCAATTTCAGAAGATAAGATTTCAGTTTTACAGAGGAATAAAAGGCATGCTAAGAGTTTTAAAAGTATAAGAAGAAAAATGAGCAACTTGAATTGTGTTAGCCTTGTGTTATGACCTTGTTCCCATGAGTTGTTGAGCCTCTTTTGTATTTGTTTTGTTGCTGAAAATGTGTATTTTTTGAGGTTTAAGTTCAGTTCTTGTGGCCTTCTGAGTTGTCTTTGAACTTGAGAAAAAGAGAAAGAAAGGGTGAACCTTAGCCCTTGGCCCAGGTTGCATAAATTCATAGCTTATGACTCATTATGACCTAGTTTTGTAAGCTATTTGAGAAGCCTGAGGTTGGCTGGAAAAAGTTAGGTTTGACCGATTAATGTTTCCAGAGACAAAGGGCTGGCCGGGCAGCCGGGTCGCAAGGTAACCGCAACCTAGCACTTTCTCGCGCCCAGAAACGTGCCATGCGCGCCAGTGCGCCCTTAACTCAGCACTCGCGCCACCGCACAGCGTCTCAACGCCCGCGCGCCCGCACCTCAACTCCCCAGCGCCCGTGTGCCCGTCACCCAGCCGACCCGTGCATGCCGCACATGAACCGCAGCACTCCAGCGTACCAGTGCAAGCCCGTGCTTCCCAGCAACCTCGTGCTAGGCTTGCCCATGCGCCAGTGACCCGCGCTGCCATGCCTAGTTGCTTTTGTTTGTTTTATTTGTCTTAAGTGCTTTGTTTTAAGACAAGATTGATTTTTCGTGATTCATGTTGATAATATTTTGGTCAAGATAAATATTACAACATATTTTAAGTTCTAACCATAATATTAATTTTTTTTTTCAAAAATATTCACTTTTATCTAAAAAAAATTATAGAAAATTGTAACAGGTTAGGTAGAATTTTTTCTTCCAATTAATCAGGAGAAATCAAGTTGGTGAATTAATCTTTGCTAATATAATTTTTTCTTAAGCTTTATTTTGTTATATATAAAAAATAAATTATTCTTCAAATTAATATAATTTACGATTTAAGATATAATGGTCAAAAAATTAAAATGGTTTTCCTAATGACTGGATACATTAAATGATTTTACTAATGGTCAAAAATTAAAATTGATCACTTAATGACCAGATACATTAAATGGTTTTAATATAATTTACCATCTAATGCCCAGATACATTAAATGATTTTATTATTGGTAAAAAATTAGAATTGGAATATATTATCTGTTCTTTAAAATTTATTTGTATATTATTGGCAACCAAGATTGTTTTTTTCTTATTATGATTTCTTTCTATAATGAAATTCTTGTAAAATATATTTTCATTGTAGAATATGTTAAATAATATATAAATCCTTACAATGTAAATTAAAAAAAATCTTGATTATAGCAGGGATTGAGTTTTTGGCATTTGTTAAATCAAAGTTGTTTAATTAGTATACAAAATTAAATTTTAAAAAAAACATGTGTGTATATTTTATAAATATTTTTATACTACTTAATTTTAGATTTATTTACATATTTTAAATTTATTACATAAATAAATAATACTAACGTGCATTAAATATTTTTCATTACATAAAATAAACAGAAAAAGAAGACATACAACTTCTATAACTTTTATAAATAATAATAACAGTATATGACAATAAAGTTTATAATAAAATAATAAGTAAGTATTATATAGTGAACAAGAATAAGTAAAATGGTTATTTTCTCTTATATCAAGGAATAAATATATATACTAAAATCAAATTTATATTAGTATAAATGTGTCAGTGAGATAATATATTATTTATTTAACAAGCTAGCTCTAACATGCTCATATTTAATGTTCTGGCTGAAAAAACAACGCTGATTAAAAAAGATAAAAAAATTAATTATAACCCTATTTTCTTGGCTTAATGTTGATTAAAAGGGATGGAAAATAGATGGTAACTCTATTGCTTTTTAAACTTAAACGGACAGAGTCTGTGAAAATATCTCATGTAATATATCTGTCTCGTGCATCGCACGGAGTATGTACTAGTCCATTTCATGATTGGTATCTCAAATTCCATTCTTAAATTAATTTTCTGGACAAATTTACATAAAATTGGAAAAAGAAGAAAGAAATAAGCAAAATGACAAGAAAAAG